AGTTTTAGTTGATGGGGTTGCTTCTTTACCCAGTCCATTCTGACATAGACATGTGCCATATTATTGCTGGATACCTTGAAAGGAAGGAAGTCCTGTGATAGACCTAGATCAGCCTCTAGGCTTCCAGTTTTTGTGATTCCAAAATCACAAAGACTGCAAAACATATTGTTGCTTTATTTGTCAGGAATTGGTGATGAAGGACGCAAGTTGAGGAGGCTCCTCAATTTTGTTGTGACATCGGGCCTATAAATCAAAATTTGAAGCTGCAGTCACGGTGTACTAAGAGGAGAGTGCTTTAGCAGACCCTGTGTGACAGAACTCCGGTTGTTCGTGTTTTCCCCTCTTTATTATGTATACTACCCTGTACAAAATGCCTGCTCCCCATTTGGGAGTGCCTCCACGAACGGGTACCACCTCCATAATCCAAATGGAACGCTCATTAGAACGTTCTCACCTCGACGTGATGCTTAAACCACGAGGGAAGCCTTGACGCATGCCATTCCCAGGGTGGCTGCCAGTTCGTATTGTATGGCGTACACCCCTTGCATGGGGTTTTGCTTAAAAAGCAGAGTGTGGTAAATAAAGTGTTGTTGTTCCTCCAGAACGCGGTCTTGTCCAGTTTAGGGGGTGCGGTGGGTGGTGGGAGAAATGGGTCTCTGTACAGTTTAAGTGGTTCCTGACTGGTTGGGTTACCCATGGTGCTCTATACCCTAAATTGACTTCAGTCAATTTCAGCAGCTGCTCTGCTGGGCCAAAGGCTTCCTGCAAGTTTCTACATGTTCGTGGGTGGGAGATGTGGTGGACCTCCCCCCTCACAGATGATCCAATCACAGTCTGAGTCATGCTTTCCACCCTCTGGTCCAGTGGGGGTTATTCCAGTCCCCGCTGGATTCAATCTCTATAGTCTTGCATAGTACGGATGATCTCTCCACCACATTGTCTGCGCCAGGCCGTGATAAGCAAAATGGCTCACACACCTGCTCCTGAATCACAGGGACTGATGTCGATTGAAGTATATTAGACAAATGAGAACAAAAAAACAGAAGGAAACCGCACCCTTTATACAATACAAATGTACGTACTCGAGTCTTTATGGTCGTAGTTTTCAATAAACCTCAAAGAGAAAAAAATCAAAATGATAGTGTAATACTGTAAATGCTTAAAATAATAAAAAAGCAAAAGGATAAATGCAAACTTACATTTACCAGAGCTATTACAGAGCTCTACTGTTGTTGCGCCTAGACGGAATGATCCCCGTCTCTGGATGAGTTTGAAGCAGTCGACCTCTTGGCGTCCTCAAACAAATAACACATATAGAAACATAGAAATCCTTATAGTGTAGTATATTGCAATATCTTAAGGAAGATGAATAAGTGCAAGGTAGCGTACTCACATGTACTAGAGCGTCCCTCACTCTAGATTAGTGATGTACCGAACGGTTCGCCGGCGAACGGTTCCTGGCGAACATAGCATGTTCGCGTTCGCCACGGCGGGCGAACATATGCGCGGTTCGACCCGCCCCCTATTCGTCATCATTGTGTAAACTTTGACCCTGTACCTCACAGTCAGCAGACACATTCCAGCCAATTAGCAGCACAGCCTCCCTAGCAGACCCTCCCACCTACTGGACAGCATCCATTTAGATTCATTCTCAAGCTGCATGCTTAGTAAGAGGAGGGAAAGTGTAGCTGCTGTTCATAAGATAGGAAAAGCATAGCTAGGTTAGGGATAAGGGTATGCTTTTTTGGATTTTTTTTTCTATGTAATGTAAATGCACTTAGTTGTCTGCCACTGCTGCCAGCTTCTGTGTCAGGCTCACAGTGCCCATTTCCCCAGTCAGTGCCACCAATTACATCTGGTGTCACAATAGCTTGGATTTAAAAACAAAAAACTTTTTTCACTGTTATAGATTGAATAGCAGTCAGTTGTCTGCCACTGCTGCCAGCTTCTGTGTCAGGCTCACAGTGCATACTGTGCCCATTTCCCAGTCAGTGCCACCAAATACATCTGGTGTCACAATAGCTTGGATTTAAAAAAAAAAACTTTTTTCACTGTTATAGATTGAATAGCAGTCAGTTGTCTGCCACTGCTGCCAGCTTCTGTGTCAGGCTCACAGTGCATACTGTGCCCATTTCCCCAGTCAGTTCCACCACTTACATCGGGTGTCACAATAGCTTGGATTTAAAAACAAAAAACTTTTTTCACTGTTATAGATTGAATAGCAGTCAGTGTCCTTAAAGCGGGTGTGTTACGCTAACAGTGGATACGCTGACAAGTGCCACTAATTAGATCTAGTGTCACAATAGTTTGGATTTAAAAAAAAATAATCTTTTTTCACTGTTATAGATTGAATAGCAGTCAGTGTCCTTAAAGCGGGTGTGTTACGCTAACAGTGGATACGCTGACAAGTGCCACTAATTAGATCCTGTGTCACAATAGCTTGGATTTAAAAACAAAAAACTTTTTTTTACTGGTATAGATTGAATAGCAGTCAGTGTCCTTAAAGCGGGTGTGTTACGCTAACAGTGGATACGCTGACAAGTGCCACTAATTAGATCTGGTGTCACAATAGTTTGGATTTAAAAACAAAAAACTTTTTTACTGTTATAGATTGAATAGCAGTCAGTGTCCTTAAAGCGGGTGTGTTACGCTAACAGTGGATACGCTGAC